GTTGTTTGGTGGGCCCAGGCTGGATTCGAACCCACCACCTTAGGTGTATGTGGCTGGTGCCTTAGCCACTTGAGCCACAGGCACCGAGCCAAGCTATGTAACTCTTAAAATTTTGCTTTTAAATCACATAATTACTATGAAATCCTTACAAAAACACTAAGAACTTTTTATTTTTTAAATTGAGAGAGAGTCTCACTTTGTCTCCCTCAATTGAATACCATACTGTCATAACTCATGCAACCTCAAACTCTTGGGCTCAAGCGATTCTCTTGCCTCAGCCTCCCAAGTAGCTGGGACTACAGGCGACTGCCCGTATACCCAGCTATTTTTAGCTATCTGCACCTGGCCTAAACACTAAGTCTCAAATAAGGAACTCTAGAGAGAAAACAAACTTTTGTCCTTCATTGTTCAACATCATAGTGAGAATTTCAAGAAGACAAAAGAAAAAAAAAATTTCAATACAATCTTTCAACTCCAAATTAGTAAAGCAGGTCAGGCACGGTGGCTTGTGCCTATAATCCTAGCACTCCGGGAGGCTGAGATGAATGGATTGCCTGAGCTCAGGCATTTGAGACCAGCCTGCGGAAGAGCGAAACCCCATCTCCCAAAATAGTTGGGTGCTGTGGTGGGCACCAGTAGCCCCAGCTACTTAGGAGGTTGAGAAACAGGATTCTCCTTAAGTCCAAGAGTTTGAGGTTGCTGTGAGCTATGACGCCACAGCACTGTACCAAGGGCAACAAAATGAAACTTTCTCCGAAATAAAAAAAGAAGTAAAGCAATAAATATAAGACAAAAGTGGCTTTTACTAGACTTGGCAGGTGAGCTTTTGTTATTGTGAAAGTAATTACTTTTGCCGTGAAAATAATATTTTCACTTCCATGGTGCTTCATATTTCCTAAGAACTTCATTTAAATAGTCTGTTTATATGTCAGCCTATAACCTCAGGTCTTTATCTTTCCCCAATGCTTGTATTGTAAGCCATATACAACTCCCAGCTGTTTTCCTCTGCTAACTACTAAACATAAGGATCTCCCTGCCCTTGCCTGAAATCTGCCTGGCTAAATCAGTTCTATTCTTCCAAATATCGTCTCTCAAGTGATCCCTTCATTAAGCAGCCAAGTCTGTGGCGAATCCACTTCCTGTAGTATATTTCCAATAATAGTCTCTCCTCCTTTCATGAATCTGCTTTTTTATTCCCAATACCTCCACTGACTATAGTAACAAATGACCTCATTCAAATAAGAACAGTGAACAAGCCAGGCAGGGTGGCTCACGTCTATAATCCTAGCACTCTGGGAGGTTGAGGCAAGTGGACTGCTTGAGCTCAGGAGTTCAACAACAACCTGAGTAAGAGTAAGACTCTGTCTCTAAAAACTAACCAGGTATTGTGACAGGTGGCGGTAGTTCCAGCTACGTGAGAGGCTGAGGCAAGAGAATCACTTGAGGTTGCTGTGAGCTGCAACGCCATGGAACTCTACCCAGGGTGACAAAGTGAGACTGTCTCAAAAAAAAAAAAAAAAACAGTGAAGGAGAAGGACATTAAAGGTGAAGTTAAGTAACCTAAGGTAAGAATTATGTTCTAAAGCTAAATCTTTCATGCTCAACCATCTATACACAAGGATAACTTCTAGAGTCAGAAATACCTCAGCCAAAAGAAAGAAGATTAAAAAAAATTTCCAGCATCCTGAATAAAATTAAGACCAGAGAGGAAAACGTAAAAGGTAACAAAATTCTATTAGTTGGCCAAATAACACCAGCTGCAAAGCTCAGAAGGGCTCCACTTAGAACATAGAAGCTCCTGCTCTTTCTACCACCATAGCTATACATAGGAGAAGTGTTATAATCAGATGTCGAATAATCAGAACTATAATAATCAGTCCTGAAACCATCATTCACAGAGAAACCAATTCCAAAAATCAATGAAAGCTCAAATCCAGACCCAGCCTAATTAATCTGCAGGGGATTTAGAGATTACTTTGTGGATCTAGGAAAAAGTGACAACATAATAAAACAAATCACTAATTCCAAGGGTCTATTCTCAAACTACTCTAAGAACATGCAGTGAAAATAGATCTTAGAGATAGAACTATACGTCAAACACAATCTGACAACTAGCCAAGTTTTCCTTTCCCTGAACATTTCAAAGTTCTATGCAATCTTGTCTATTCTCTTACCTGGCTCAGTCCCTCACAGGGCTTCATTTTCACTGGACCTGTAGTATGAACTTTTTATACATATGATATAAGTGATACATCAAATAAGTTTCAGTAATCGACCACAGATATCTCTGGATGATTCCAGATAAATGCACAAAAGATGTGAGTAATTGGTGCAACTGGTGAGCAGATCCTGATGCAATTGGGACCAAGAGATCCAGTCTCAAAAATGGGAAGCAAAGTACAAATATGTAAGGCTCAGTGCCCATAGCTCAAGTGGTTAGGGCACTGGCCGAATATACCGACACTGGTGGGTTTGAATCCAGCCTGGGCTTGCTTAATAACAGTGACAACTACAAAAAAAAAAAAAATAGCCAGGCATTGTGGCAGGCGCCTGTAGTTCCAGCTACTTAGGAGGCTGAGGCAAGAGAATCACTTAAGCCCAAGAGTTTGAGGTTGCTGTGAGCTGTGACGCCATGGCACTCTACCGAGGGCAACATAGTAAGACTCTGTCTGAAAACAAACAAACAAACAAAAAAATCGAAGGACAAGTATGTGATTAAAAGAATACCTGTTGGCTCGGCGCCCATAGCACATTGGTTACAGCACCAGCCACATACGCTAAAGTTGGCAGGTTTGAACTCAGCCCAGGCCAGCTAAAACAACAAAGACAACTGCAACAAAAAATAGCCACGCATTGTGGTGGGTGCCTATAGTCCCAGCTACTTGAGAGGCTAAGGCAAGAGAATCGCTTAAGCCCAAGAGTTTGAGGTTGCTGTGAGATGTGATGCAACAGCACTTTACCAAGGGTGACATAGTGGAAATCTGTCTCAAAAAAAAAAAAAAAAAAATACCTGTTGCTAGAATACTAGTCAGCAATCACAAGGAGCAAAGAATTGATACATACAAAAACTCAGATGGCTGTAAGGGCATTATATTATTAGGCTGAGTGAAAAAAGCCAATCTTGAAGGTTAATTAATACTATATGATTCTATTTACATGACCTTTCCAAGTGACAATATTATAGTAATAGAGAATAGCTAAGTGGTTGCCAAAGGCTAGGGTTGGAAGAAGGATATGACTGTTAAGGGGTAACATCACTGTTTCTTAGTGGTGATATTTCCGTTGTGTGAGTTCTGTATCTTGATTATGATGATGGTTACTCAAATCTACACGTAATTAACAATGCATACAACTAACTATACATCCCTTGCTACTGAAAAAGCAGTGCATGGGGCGGTGCCTGCAGTACAGTAGTTATGGTGCCAACCACATGCACCAAGTGTGGCAGGTTCGAACCCAGCCCAGCCAGCTAAATAACTGCAACAAAAACAAATAGCCCAAAAGTTTGAGGTTGCTATAAGCTGTGATGCCACAGCACTCTACAGAGGGCAACATAGTGAGAGGAAAAGAAAAGGAAGAATAGGGCAGGGGGCAGAGGGTAGGGCGAAAGAAAGAAAGGGAAGTAAGGGAAAGACAGAGAGAGAAAGAAAATTGAGGCTTTATGGAGTCTTTTTGTTTGTGCCTGGCCTGTATTTTTTTTTTTTTTAACAGAGACAGAGTCTCACTTTATTGCCTTGGGTAGAGTGTCATGGTGTCACAGCTCACAGCAACCTCCAACTTATGGGCTTAGGTGATTCTCTTGCCTCAGCCTCCTGAATAGCTGGGACTACAGGTGCCTGCCACAACGCCTGGCTATTTTTTTGTTGCAGTTTGGCCAGGGCTGGGTTCGAACCCACCACCCTCGGTATATGGGACCAGCGCCCTACCCACTGAGCCAAAGGCACCGCCCTGAATTTTTCTTTTAGTTAAAAAATATTTGAGTGCCTCAAGCACCCATTGCTGAGTGGTTAGGGTGCCAGCCACATACACTAGGGCTGGCAGGTTCAAATCTGGCAAGGGCCTATAAAACAACGACAAACAACAAAAACAAAAAAATAGCTGGTGTTGTGATAGGCATCTGTAATCCCAGCTACTTGGGAGGCTGAGGCAAGAGAATCACTTAAGCTCAAGAGTTTGAAGTTGCTGTGAGCTGTGATGCCACAGCACTCTACCAAGAGGACATAATAAGACTCTGTCTCAAAAAAAAAAAAATTTCAGTGATGGCACACTTATAGTTGTGCCTCAAGCATTACAAAAGTGATCCATATGGCTTGGTGCTTGTGGCTCAAGCGGCTAAAGCGCCAGCCACATACACCTAAGGTGGTGGGTTCAAATCCAGCCTGGGCCCACCAAACAATGACAGCTGCAACCAAAAAACAGCCGGGCGTTGTAGCGGGCGCCCGTGGTCCCAGCTACTTGGGAGACAGAGGCAAGAGACTCTCTTGAGCCCAGGAGTTGGAGGTTGCTGTGAGCTGTGATGCTATGGCACTCTAAGGGAGACAGCTTGAGGCTCTGTCCCAAAAAAAAAAAAAAAAGTGATCCACATTAACAAAAACATTGGTAACCCTCCCCCTTTTTTGGTAGTTTTTGGCCAGGGCCAGGTTTGAACCTGTCACCTCCAATATATATGGGGCCAGCGCCCTACTCCTTGAGCCACAGGTGCCGCCCCATTGGTACCCTCTTAATATCCTGAAATTTATAAAACTGAAACTGGGCATGGTAGCTTACACCTATAATCCTAGCACTCTGGGAGGCCAAGACAGTAGGAACCCTTGAGCTCAGGAGTTCCAAACCAGCCGAAGAGTGAGACCCCATCTCTACTAAAAATAGAAACCTTAGCCAGGTGTAGTGGCACATGCTTGTAGTCTCAGCTACTCGGGAGGCTAAAGCAAGAGGACTGCTTGAGCCCAAGAGTTTGAGGCTGTGCCCAAGAGTTTGAGGTTACTATGAGCTATGACACCATAGCACTCTACCAGGGCAAGAGAGTTGACACTGTGTCTCAAAATAAATAATTAACTAATTAATTTTAAAAAATAAGTATTCTGAGACAGAGTCCGTAGGCTTTGTCCAACTGCCCTAAGGGTTTGTATCAACAATAATAATGCAAGAATTAAACTACCTGGGATAGTCCTCTAACATTTGCACTAACCTACCTACACCTCAGTTACAGCAACTGTGAGAATAAACAGAAAATATACAGTGCTACCATCAAAGGTAACCTTACTGTCATTTGTGATCACTCTTTATATTTTAAATTATGATGACTAATGGCCATCAGTATTTTAGAAGTGCTAAAAAAATAGTGGGGCAGATTAATTTTCAAAATAAGACATTCATAATGTATTTGCTAAGTAACTGCACTAAAACAATAAAGCATTTCCTTTCTCCTAAAACTAATTTACTGTTAATTAGATAAAAGAATCTTGTAATAGTATTGTAAGAAAATTATCTAACCATATCCTTTATCGTGTAGTAACTAGGTTTCATCAAATATAACTTAACTCTTAATATGATCAAAATTTATTTAAAATTATATCATATTTGCAATGCCTCAGAATTAACTGTGATGCATAAAACAGGTTTGTATCTTACCTCTCCGTAAGTATTTAAGTTGCTTTTTAGGAAGCCTGTAAGTGCAGCAACTTGGCACGCAAAATATGGTAACGCCCAGTTTTCTCTTAAAGGAATAGAATATTCAATTCTTGTTGTATCTACCCTAAAATAAACCATAGATGAACAGCAAAAGCAAAATATTATATTTGTGTTACACTAGATTTTCAAACAAGATGTTCTTTTGTGTTACTGTTATGTTACCTGACTTGAGTCTGTAAGCATCATACACTTTGTTCTCAATATTTTTCACAGTTGTGCCTGAAATAATTTGTACAAATAGTGGATTCTTGTGGGAGTACATATAAATGCAGAGTATAATTCAAAGAGTCATCAAGTTCAGAAGACTCAATCATTGTTGGAGAATCTGGACACGGAGGTAACTTTAAAAATACTCACAAAAAATGTAAACTCAAGTACCTCATCTAATTTGGAAAACAAAAGTTTAGAACCTATTTCAAATATAAATTCTATAATTACTATGTGGAAAACATTAAAGTAGTACAAAAAGCTTTTTTCCACATGCTTGAGTTATCAATCTATAATGCTTATGTACTTTATAAAATTGTGAACAATAAAAATTTAAAATTTGCACAATTTCACATACACCTCATTAGAGAAATCATGGAAAAATATCTGGTTGACAAGCCAACTCTGGAGGAAGAACTGTTTCTGGTAACAACCCATTCTGTCTCATGGAAAGGCATTTTCCATCAAAGTATAGCAATCCAACAGGAACACAGCAGAACACCCAGCAGAGATGCAGTGTTTGCACAAAACATAAAAACTGAAACAGGCTGAGTCTCCATCTTTCTTTAAGGCTGCATAATATTCCATGGTGCACATATTCCACAAGTTATTGATCCATTCGTGGGTCGATGGGCACTTGAGCTTCTTCCATGACTCAGCAATTATGAATTGGGCTGCAATAAACATTCTGGTACAAATATCTTTTTTTTGTTTGTCTGTTTTTTGAGACAGAGTTTTATTTTGTCACCCTCAGTAGAGTGCTGTAGAGTCACAGCTCACAGCAACCTCCAGCTCTTGGGCTTGGGTGATTCTCTTGTCTCAGCCTCCTGAGTAGCTGGGACTACAGGTGCCCACCACAACACCCAGCTATTTTTTGTTGCAGTTTGGCCGGAGCTGGGGTTGAACCTGCCACCCTCAGTATATGGGGCCAGCATTCTACTCACTAAGCCACAGGCACCACCCACAAATATCTTTGTTATAGTGTGATTTTTGGTCTTCTGGATATATACCTGAATTGTAGGATCAAATGGCAGGTCTATTTTTAGTTCTCTAAGC